GAAGGAGGAGGAGAGATGAGAAAAGAGGAACAGAGAGTGATAGGTGGAAATGAGGGTCTGAGAAAGAGCGCCAGGTGGAGAGGAAGCAGAAATGGGGAAATGGTAAAAGGGAGGGGGTGAGGTGGGGGGGTGTTTATCTTGAGGGGGTCGTCATGGGTGTGAACCTGGAGATCTTGTCTAATGAGATCGTGATAACTGCGTGGTAGACAGCATACAGAAGCTTCTCCCCAGCATATGTCTGGCAAATACATCACTGGCATGGAAGAAATTAGCTCAGAGCCAGGGCTATTCTGCTAAGATACCTGGTTTTCCTAGAATAGGAAAAGCCACAGGGTGAAATTTCTCTGCTGTAGTCATTGGAAACTAGTAAGTACAGTCAAAGGGAGGATTCTGCTACAGTACTGTCACATCTCAAGTAGCCTAGAAAAATCCCCATTACTCTTCCCATAACGGAGTTTCGGTCACTGCAGGACGTACTAATGCGCCTCAAGGGCTTTCCCTCATTTAGGACTTACACTAGTCCCCCTGTTGTGACATGACAATATCTGTCACCGCCTCACTCACAGCTCTATGTTTTCTATATGATAAAGGTATACTGTATTTTTATAATACTTATTTTTAGAACATAGTCCTAGTGGGAAATTTGGGGAAAGAAGTCCAAATATTTCCTTAGTTTTATCCATTGGGTAATAAAATTAAATTTATTTCTGTTCAGCCTGACCATAAAAATGTATATTATGTATTTATTAATCTCTTTGTTATGTTTGGTCTATATATAAGTTTACTAAAGACACTGGGGTTTGTCATTTGTATATTTTACGATATCAGATTTCTTTTCCTAACTATTTCATACCTGTTTATCCCATCTCTTATTGTAATGAGCTGAATATTACTTCATGTAATAAGGGTTCTATAAATAAAAATATGCCTTATTACTTTTTTTAACTCTTTACAAACTCTAAGTTAATACTTGTTAATAATTTTAATATCCTAGCACTATGTTTTGTTTTCAGCTTGTTCTCCTGAAATGCTAAAAAATAAATGACATCCAATAAAACAACAATTAAAGAAACCTTCAAAAGCCTTTGTTTGATTTTTGTTAGAAGTACTTCCTACATACACAGTTTGGAATGTGTTCAACATAAGTGTGAATCATCACTATGTAATGTTTGAGAATATGTTGAAAAGAAAGCCGTTGCAGAAGAAAATGTAACTTACAATAATCTTATAGCATCTGGTTCACACCTGGAAAAGTAAAATTTACAGTGTTGCACTGTTATAATTTTAGAACAGTAATGTGAACTGTCTTTGGATTTCAGACCATTTCTACTACCAAAACTAATTTGAGCCGTTTTGTGCACAACAGATAGCTGAAGTAAACATTGGAGAGAACTGATTAATTACACTGGCATTCTCTCAAATACCAGCCAGACTTAGCTGCGTGTGAATGTGTCTTTGTGTTATTATGATGCTCGGAAGTTCGGATGCTACTTTCTTTAGTCTGTACTTTTTAGCCTAAGCCATGAATATACCTATCCTCAAGACTTGTATGTAAAATCTATTTAGGCATAGGAATAACATATCAGGTGCTTTCTAAATGATGCAAAAATGTTAGTGAAGCCCAGTACAGAATGAATTTTTTTCTTTTTCTTTTAGCATTGTCATTGTTCCTGAATGTGATTCTAATTCAGTCCTTCATTATATCAAATATCGCACACAGGCAGGCATTCTGAAGGCTTTTTTTTCTTTGCGTTTCCCTTTTGGCCCATCAGTTCTTAAGTTTTGTGCATGAAATAATTTTATTACAAGGTAAGAAGTGTCTATAAAACAGTTAATTTTTTTCCCAAATGATGTCAAACAAACCTCTGTATCTATTTTCACATTATCTGTATTAGTGGAGCCCCTCCTTTCCCTCTCACCTTCCTAAACCCTCTGCTTATGTATGTCCTGTCCGCTCAGTTTCCTCATGTGCGTTTGCTGATGTGCACTCATAAACAGGTCTGCACACATGCTAACCTTAGGCGCTTTCTTCTTTCCTCGTCATTTTTTCCTTAATTTTTTGGCCCTGATTCTACCACTTGATGTCTGAGATCAGGATAGGTGAAGTAGTGAAGGAGGCTAAGACTAAGTTCCACCTTCTCCTTTCTTTCTTTATCATCTCTCCCGTCTTTCCTTCCTCTCACTGAATCAGTGCCCTCACACTATACCTCAGGGCTCTCTCTTCTCAGCTATGTCTTCGCTACACACGTACATCCCTTGAGCAGCATCTCCTATTTCTGAATCTTCCCTAGTTCTGCAGTCCATCAAAATGCATCTATTTTGTGTCATAGGGCCTTGCTCTTCAATAGATGACAAACACACTAATGAATTCAGCACACAACTACCCCATCCATGCGAAAGTGAAACTCACTCACCTTTGCAGAGGGCATAGGGTTTCCCCCAGCCGTGTGCCTCTTTCTTATCTTCTAGGACTTAACTCATGTCACCTCCTCAGAAAGCCTTTCCCTGACCTCCCTTCTCTAGATATTCTCTATTCCATCACTGTTTATTTCCTTCACAGCATTAACACATTTTGATTCACGGTATTGTTTACTGAAAAGTAATAAATTGTAACTGTACAGTTTGATAGATTTCTACACAGTGGCCTCCTTAGGCCCAGAAGGGTAACATATCAGCATCCCGGAGACTCACCTCATGCCCGCTTTGGGTCATTATTCCTCTATCACCCCAAACGTAGCCACAATCCTAACATCTGCACCATAGATTAGTTTGCATTTTTTTTAACTTTATAAAGTAGAATGTGCTTTTTGGTTTGACTTCTTTCATGCAATATAATATTGATGAAATTCACCCAGGCTGTTGCATAGAGTTGTAGTTCATTCATTTCGCTGCGGAACATCATTCATTGTATAACGATACCACAATCTATCTATCCACATTACCACTGATGAACAATTTGGGCCTATTACAAATAATACTATGAACATTTTGTCCATTGTTTTGATGCACACATATACGCATTTCTCCTGGGTATAGAATAAGAATTTTTCAGGTGTAATATATATTGCAAATAAATTTTCCAAAGTGGTTGTATCAATTTACATTTGCACCACCAAAGTACAAGAGGTCAAAATACATATCGGGGGGCTTCCCTGGTGGCGCAGTGGTTGGGGGTCTGCCTGCCGATGCGGGGGGTGCTGGTTCGTGCCCCAGTCTGGGAGGGTCCCGCGTGCCATGGAGCAGCTGGACCCGTGGGCCGTGGCCGCTGGGCCTGCGTGTCCGGAGCCTGTGCTCCGCAACGGGAGAGGTCACAACAGTGAGAGGCCCACATACCGCAAAAAAAAAAAAAAAAAAAAAAAAACCCATATCAACACTTGGTATTGTGATCATTTACAAAAGTTTTGCCACTTTGGTGAATGTGTTGTTATATCTCATTAAGGTTTTGACTTGCATTTCCCTCATGACTAATAAGGTTTAGCACATGTTCATGTCTGCTGGCCATTTGGATAATCTCTCTTCTGAAATGTCTGCTCAAATTTCTTGCCCATTTTTCTATTGTGTCATCTGTTGTTTTCTTACTGATTTGTAAGAGTTCTTTATATATTCTGGATATGCAACCTTGCAAGATATATTTATTGAAAATGTCTTCTGCCACATTCTGGCTTACTTTTCTCTCTGTTAATGATGTCTTTTGATAAACAGAACTTAATTTTGACGTAGTCTAATTTGTAAGTCTTTTTCTCTATGATTAGTGCTTTGATGTTCTGTTTTAAAAATATCTTTTCATCCCTCGAGGTCAGAAAGATATGTTCCCATGCTATCTTCTAGAAGCACTTTCACATTTAGAACTACAGTCCACCTGGAATTGATGTTTGGATATGATATGAGATAAGAATCAAATTTCATTCATTTTCATATACAGATATCCAATGACCCATCATCATTATTGAAATGGCTGCCCTTCCTCTACCCTAAGCAGGTTCATTTTTATCATAAATCAAAATTCCTTTTGGGTATAGGCCTGTTTCTGAATTCTCTGCAACATTCCCTTGATTTGTTTCTGCTTTTCTGAATACCATATTGTTTTAATAACTGTTGATTTATGATACATCTTGATATCCAATAGTGTAAATCTTCCAACTTTGCTCTTCTATAAGATTTTCATGACTATTTTTGGCCTTTGCCATTTCCATATACGTTTTAGACTTAGCTGATAAAAACCAAAGACCCTATTTCTAGGAAAACACACACAAGTACACACGCACACGCAGAGCTGAATTTTTTCCTTGAAAATGCAAAACCTGACAAGAGCACAATGATAAAGAAAAAATATGTCTTTCAGTTAACATCTATTTAAAAGTTTAAAATAAAATTTGGCAAACTACTATATCCAGCAAATGTCTACTTAAAAACATGACCTCTGACTGGCATTCACATAAGAGGGCAAGCTACCTAATGTTTCTGTGCCTCAATTCTGTATTTTGCAATCTTCACTTATTATTCTGTGAGGTTCAAATGAAATAACATACATAAAGCACTTGTAAGAGTGGGACATAGGGAGCCAATAAAATTTAAGTATTGTTATTCTTCTACCACAGCACTCCTTCATTTAGTCTCTGCTATAATTCACGATTTATATGTCTCTTTCTCTTGTTAAATTATAATCTCTATGGTGGAACCATCCTTGGCCCAGGCAAGAGCCTGTGACCCAGCAGCTATGCTTTAGTAAGCTCTGTATATCACAAACACCACAATGCTAAATTTATTAAAGGACACATGGATCTTAGTCACTTGAGATTCAACCTTGAAGACTGGTACAATGTAGCATATGTCACTCTAAAACAACAGCTCTTCTGACTAAACTGTTCAGATCCAGGGAATATCGTTGTCCACCTTTCTTGTCCTATGTGCTCAAAACAAAGATGATTGCACTTGAATGTTGTGAAGGTTAGTTGGCTGTTCCACTGCTCATGTCAGAAGCAAGTGTTTCTCTGAAGTAAGGGGAAGATTTGATGAGCACTGGTGAGCTTAGGAAAGAGATAAGAGAAAGTTATTAACTGTCAAATTGTCCCTTTTTAGATAGTGTGAATGCAATCTACTTTTGCATAACAATCATTTCTTTGTAATGCCAAGAGTCTATTTTCTTTGTGTTCTGGTTTGTGATTCTGGAGGTATGATATTCACAAGAGTTGCCCATGGTGGCTGAAATACTTAACAATTCATACATGTAGGTCTAGACAGAACATTCATGGAGCATGTTACTAATTCTTTACCTTGGTAACAAAAGAGATACTTAATGCTAGAAATGCAAATAGTTTTATTTTTATTAAAATATATATATATACATATTTTTTGCGGTAAGTGGGCTTCTCACTGTTGCGGCCTCTCCCGTTGTGGACCACAGGCTCCGGATGCGCAGGCCCAGCAGCCATGGCTCACGGGCCCAGCCGCTCTGCAGCATGTGGGATCTTCCCAGACCGGGGCATGAACTCGTGTCCCCTGCATCGGCAGGCGGACTCTCAACCACTGTGCCATCAGGGAAGCCCATATTTTTATTAAAATATTGAGTGATATTTCATTATTTTCAAAATTTAAACATTTTCAGCTTTACTTAACTAATTTTGATTTTAAAAGTTAATTTATATGAATCCCTGTTAAGCTCTTCCAAAAAAATAGAAGAGGGAACATTTCCAAACTGATTTTTTTTTTTTGATGCTGATCACCCTGATACCAGGGTCAGACAAGACACCACAAAAAAAGAAAACTACAGGTCAACATCCCTAATGAACCTAGATGTAAAAATCTTCAATAAAATACTAGCAAACTAAATTAAACAGCACATTAAAAGGACTATACACCATAACCAAGTGGGGTTTATCTCTAAGATGCAAGGACAGTTCAATGTACACAAATCAGTCAGTGTGATATACCACATTAACAGAATGAAACATAGAAACCACATGATCTTTCAATAGATACAGGAAAAAACATTTGACAAAAATTCAATGTCCATTCATGATAAAGAGTCTCAACAAAATAGGTATAGAAGAAACTTACCTCAGTAAAATAAAGACCATATATGAAAAGCCTACAGCTAAAATCATAATCAATAGAGAAAAACCAAAAGCTTTTCCACTAAGATTTGGTACAGGCAAGGATGCTCTGTACCATCCTTTTTGTCACTTATATTCAACCTAGTACTGGAAATCCCAGACAGAGCAATTAAACAATAAAAAGAAATAAAGGCATACACATTGGAAAGTAAAAAGTAAAATGATCTCTGTTTGCAGATGGCTTGATCATATATAGAAAACCATAAAGACTCAACAAAAAGACTGTCTGAACTAATAACAACATCAGTGAAGTTGCAGGATACAAAATTAACATACAAAAGTTGACGGCATTTCTACACAGTAACAATGAGCTATCTAAAAAGGATATTAAGAGAACAATCCCATTTACAATAGCAACAAAAAGAATAAATAAAACACTTAGGAATAAACTTAACCAAAGAAGTAAAAAACTAGTATACTGAAAACTTAAAACACTGATGAAGAGATTAAAGAAGATGCATATAAAGGGAAAGACATCCTATGTTCATGAATTGGAAGACTTTATATTGTTAAAATGTCAAAACTACCCAAAGTGGTCAACAGATTCAGTGTGATTCCTATCATAACTCTAATGGCACTTTAATGGCATTCTTTCAGAAATAGAAAAAAAAAAATCCTAAAATTCATATGGAACTACAAAAGAACTTGAATAGCCAAAGCAATTTTGTGCAAGAAGAACAAAGATGGAAGCTTCATATTCTCTAATTTCAAAATATATTCAAAGCTGCAGTATTTGAAACAGTGTGGTACTGGCATAAAAACTGTCATATAGAACAATGAAACAGAGTAGAGGGCCCAGAAATAAATCCACACATTTACAGTCAACTAACATTTGAAAGGGTGCTAAGAACACAGAATGGGGAAAGCTCTTCAACAAGTGGTTTTGGGAAAACTGCATTATCTATATGAAATTGGAACCTTATCTCACCATATGCAAAAATCAACCCAAGATAGATTAAAGACTTAAATGTGAGACCTGAAATGGTAAAACTACTGGCAGAAAACAGAGAAAAAGCTTACTGACATTGGTCAAGGGAATAACTTTTTTTGTTTTTTCATGACATCAAAAGCAAAGGCAAAGAGGACACTTCAAGATGGCGGAGAAGTAAGATGTGGAGATCGCCTTCCAACCCACAAATACATCAAAAATACATCTACATGTGGAACAACTCCTACAGAACACCTACTGAATGCTGGCAGAAGACCTCACACTTCCCAAAGGCAAGAAACTCCCCATGTACCTGGGCAGGGCAAAAGAAAACAGAATAAACAGAGACAAAAGGATAGGGATGGGACCTGCACCAGTGGGAGGGAGCTGTGAAGGAGGAAAGGTTTCCACACACTAGGAAGCCCCTTCATTGGTGGAAACGGGGGGTGGGTGGGGGGAAGCTTCAGAACTACAGAGGAGAGCACAGCAACAGAGGTGCAGAGGGCAAAGCAGAGAGATTCTTGCACAGAGGTTCAGTGCCGACCGGCACTCACCAGCCTGAGAGGCTTGTCTGCTCACCTGCCAGAGCGGGTGGGAGCAGGGAGCTAAGGCTCAGGCTTCAGAGGTCAGATCCCAGGTAGAGGACTGGAGATGGCTGCATGAACACAGCCTGAAGGGGGCAAGTGCGCCACAGCTAGCAGGGAGGGAGTCCAGGGAAAACTCTGGACCCGCCTAAGAGGCAAGAGACCATTGTTTCAGGATGCACGAGGACAGGAGATTCAGAACACTGCCTAAACGAGATTCAGAGACAGGCACGAGCCGCGGCTATCAGCGCGGACCCCAGGGAGAGGCATGAAACGCTAAGGCTGCTGCTGCAGCCAACAAGAATCCTGTGTGCAAGCACAGGTCACTATCCACACGTCCCCTCCTGGGAGGCTGTGCAGCCCGCCACTGCCAGGGAGCCGTAACCCAGGGACAACTTCCCCAGGAGAACACACGGAATGCCTCAGGCTGTTGCAATGTCACGCTGGCCTTTACTGCCGCAGGCTTGTTTCACATTCTGTCCCTCCCTCCCCCCAGCCTGAGTGAGCCAGAGCCCCCTAACCAGCCACTCCTTTAACCCTCTCCAGTCTGGGCGAAGAACAGATGCCAGAGGGAGACCTACATGCAGAGGTGGGGCCAAATCCAAAGCTGAACCCCAAGAGCTGTGCAAACAAAGAAGAGAAAGGAAAATCTCTCCCAGCAGCCTCAGGAGCAGCAGATTAAATCTCCACAATCAACTTGTTATACCCTGCATCTGTGGAATACCTGAATAGATGACGAATCATCCCAAAATTGATGCAGTGGACTTTGGGAGCAACTGTAGACTTGGGGTTTCCTGTATGTGACTGACTAGTTTCTTATTTTTATGTTTATCTTTGTATAGTTTGTAGGGCTTGTTATCATTGGTGGAGTTCTCTATTGGTTTTGTGGTTCTCATCTTATTTTTTTAAACTACTTTAAAATCTTTTATTTTAATAACTTTTTTTATTTTAATAACTTTATTCTATAATATATATTTTTTCTTTGTTTCTTTTTTCCTCCATTTTCTATTCAGATGTGTAGCTGACAGGGTCTTGGTGCTCTGGTCGGGTATCAGGCCTGCGCCTCTGAGGTGGGAGAGCCAGCTTCAGGACACTGGACCACCAGAGACCTCCCAGCCCCATGTAATATCAATTGGTAACAGCTCTCCCAGAGATCTCCATCTCAACTCTAAGACCCAGCTCCATGCAATAACCAGCAAGCTCCAGTGCTGGACACCCCATGCTAAACAACTAGGAAGACAGGAACACAGCCCCACCATTAGCAGAGAGGCTGCCTAAAATCATAATAAGTTCACAGACAGCCCAAAACACACCACTGGATGTGGTCCTGCCCACCAGAAAGACAAGTTCCATCCTCATCAACCAGAACACAGGCACCAGTTCCTTCCACCAGGAAGTCTACACAACCCACTGAACAAACATTATCCACTGGGAGCAGACACCAGAAACAACGGGAACTATGAACCTTCAAACTGCGAAAAGGAGACCCAAACACAGTAAGTTAAGCAAACTGAGAAGACAGAGAAATACTCAGCAGATGAAGGAGCAAAGTAAAAACCCACCAGACCAAAAAATTAAGAAGAAATAGGCAGTCTAACTGAAAAAGAATTCAAAGTAATGATAGTAAAGATGATCTAAGATCTTGGAAATAGAATGGAGAAAATACAAGAAACATTTAGCAAGGAACTAGAAGAACTAAAGAGCAAACAAACAATGATGAACAACACAATAAATGAAATTAAAAATTCTATAGAAGGAATCAATAGCAGAATAAATGAGGTAGAACAATGAATAAGTGACCTGGAAGATAAAATAGTGGAAATAACTACCACAGAGCAGAAGAAAGAGAAAAGAATGAAAAGAATTGAGGACAGTCTCAGAGACCTCTGGGACAACATTAAACACACCAACATTTGAATTATAGGGGTCCCAGAAGAAGAAGACAAAAAGAAAAGGACTGAGAAAATAATTAAAGAGACTACAGTTGAAAACTTCCCTAATATGGGAAGGGAAAGTCCAGGAAGCAGAGTACCATACAGCATAAATCCAAAGAGAAACACTCCAAGACACATATTAATCAAACTATTAAAAATTAAACACAAAGAAAAAAAATTAAAAGCAGCAAGGGAAAAGCAACAAATAACATAAAACAGAATCCCCATAAGGTTAACAGCTGATCTTTCAACAGAAACTCTGCAAGCCAGAAGGGAGTGGCCAGACATATTTAAAGTGATGAAAGGGAAAAACCTACAACCAAGATTACTCTACCCAACAAGGATCTCATTCAGATTCGACACAGAAATGAAAACCTTTACAGACAAGCAAAAGCTAAGAGACTTCAGCACCACCAAACCAGCTTTACAACAAATGTTAAAGGAACTTCTATAGGCAGGAAACACAAG